TTCTATGGTTGTTGGATGAAGTATTCTGTAGATGTCTATTAGGTCCAACTGATCAAGTGTTGAATTTAAGTCCAGAATTTCTTTGTTAGTTTTCTGTTTTGATGATCTGTCTAAAGCTGTTGGTGAAGAGTTGAAGTCCCCCACTATGATTGTGTGCCGCCTCAGTCTTATCTTAGGTCTAGTAGTAATTGTTTTTATAAATCTGGGTGCTCCAATGTGGGTGTGTATATATTTAGGATAGTTAAGGCTTCTTGTTGGATTGAATCCTTTATCATTATGCAATACACCTTACTGCCCTTTTTTACTGTTGGTGGCTTAAAGTCTGTTTTATCTGATACAAGAATAGTGACCGACCTCTGCTCTTTTTTATTTACCACTTGTGTGATAGATCTTTCTCCATCCCTTTACCTTAAGCCTATGGGTGTTGTGTGGGAAGTGAGATGAGTCTCTTGAAGACAGTAGAAGGATGGGTCTTGTTTGTTTTTAATCTAACTTGCCACTCTATGTCTTTTAAGGGGCATTTAAACCGTAGACATGCAAGGTTACTACTGATATGTGGGGTTTTGTTCCAATCATAGTGTTGTTAACTAGTTGCTTTGTAGACTTGGTTTGTGGTTGCTTTATAGGGTCTGTAGACTATGTTCTTATACAAGGGGTGACAAAAAACCCCAGAATTTATTTATGAAAAATTGTGTATTTATTCTTACATGTTTGAACTTCAGTCACCTTTAAAATACTCTTCATTTGATGCAGCACACCTACTGAGATGCTTTTTCCATTGCTCAAAAGTTTTTGAACTTGTCAGTTTTGATGTTTTTTAGTGCTTCTGCTGTTTTTTGTTCCACCTCTTTCACATCAGCAAAACGTTTCCCTTTGAGGACTTTTTTTCATCCAGGGAAACAAACAAAAAAGTCACTTTTTTGACAAAAGTCATGGAGGTCATACTGTTTTTGATCAAAAGCTGCTGAATACTAAGTGTGGTGTGGGCAGGTATACTCGTAAATCACCCATGAGAAAATGGGCAAAAGTGTTGAAAGAATCCCCCCCCCAAAAAAAAATTCACTGAAGCCAAAAACAGCCTCACAACAACACCAGCTGGAACAGTGATGCAGATGGGTTCCTAGAACACTCACATAGCAGGGGAAGCCTGTATTACAAGGAGTCCACCCTCTAAAAAAATAATTCCAGCTTTTTTGGGTCCCACCTCATATGTGCTTTTGTGCAAGGTGGTATCATTTTTTAATTTTTATTTTTATGTTAAAGATGTGGGGTACTATTCAGGGTTAGGTATACAAACGTTGATTATGCAGGTACCCTTGTTGATGAGGTGTGCCCCTCCCTCCCCTAGCAGTTTCCCTTAACTGCCAATCCCACCCCCACCCCCAGCAATTTCCCACTACTGCCGGTCCCTTTCTTATAGTATTATAATAATCGTTCAAGGTCCGCTTATGAGTGAGAACATATGGTACTCTGTTCTGTTTCTGTAATAGATCACTGGGTATGATTGACACTAAATCCATCCAAGTTGCTGTGAAGTTCATATGTTTGTCCTTTGTTATGATTGTATAATATTCCACTGTGTATATGTACCACATTTTTAAAATCTAGTCCAGCTTCGATGGGCAGAATGGTTGGTTCCATGTGTCTGCTATTGTGAATAGAGCTGCAACAAACATGTGTGTGCAGGTATCTTTTTTGTAGAATGATTTGAGTTCCTCTGGGTATATTCCCAATATGGGAATTGCTGGGTCATATGGAAGGTCAATTTTTAGTTCTTTCAGAAATCACCACACTGTCTTCCAAAGAGGTTGTACTAGTTTGCATTCCCATCAGCAGTGTAGAAGCGTTCCTTTTTCTCCGCATCCTTGCCAGCATCTGTTGTTTATTACTGATGGCCATTCTTACTGGGGTTAGGTAGTATCTTCGTGTGGTTTTGATTTGCATTTCTCTGATGATTAGTGAGGGTGAGCACTTTTTCATGTGTCTGTTGGCTGCCCGTATATTCTCTTTTGAGAAATGTCTATTCATATCTTTTGCCCACTTTTTTTTTTTTTAAAGCAGGATTTATTGAGAGGACAGAAAAACTCCCACAGTAGGAGGGGACCCGAGAGGGTTGCCCTCTTTTGCCCACTTTTTAATGGGGCTGTTAGTATTTTTTCCTTTTGGCACGTTTGAGTTCCTTGTAGATCCTGGATGTTAGGCCTTTGTCAGATATACAGTTGGCAAATATTTTTTCCCATCTGTGGGCTGTCTCCCTGGTCTCCTGACAGTTTCTTTTGCTTTGCAGAAGCTCATCAGTTTGATGAGGTCCCACTTGTCTACCTTATTTCTTATGGTATGGGCACTTAGGATTCTGATCAGGAATTGGTTGCCAGTTCCAATTTCCATAAAGGAGTCTCCTGCGTTTTCTAGGATTCTTATAGTTTGAGGTTTTATGTTTAGGTCTCTGATCCATTTAGAGTTAATTTTTGTGTATGGTGATAGGTGGCATCATTCTTTTCTTGTCATGTTCCAGACCGCTTTCAAGCATCTCTTGCAGGGCTGGTCTAGTGGTGACTAATTCCCTTAGCAATTGCTTGTCTGGGAAAGACTTTATTTCTCCCTTGTTGATTAAGGCTGGTTTTACGTGGTCAGAAAGTCTTGGCTGGCATTTCTTTTAAGAATGCTAAAAATCAGTCCCCAATCTCTTTTGGCTTGTAAAGTTTCTATGGAGTGGTCTGCAGCTAGGCTGAGGTCTCCCTTGGTAAGTGGTCTGACTCTTTTTTCTAGTTGCTTTTAAGGTTTTTTTCATTCATGTTGATCTTGAACAGTCTGATGACTATGAACTATATTGGGGATAGCGAATTCATAATATTGCACAGAGTCCTCTGAATTTCTTATATCTGCATATTGACCTTGAAAGACTGGGGAAGTTTTCTTTGATTATGTCCTCAAGTATATTCCAGGTTGTTTCCATTCTCTTCTTCTGACTCAAGCATGCCAATCAGTTGTAGGTTTTGTCTCCTTATAAAATCCTGCATTTCTCAAAGGTTTTGTTCATTTAAAAAAACTTTTTCCCTATTTTTGCCTGACTGAGTTGATTCATATTATTGGTGTTCAAGCTCTGAAATTCTTCTGCTTTGTCTAGTTGTTGTTAAGGCTTGCAACTGTATTTTGAAATTTCTCAATTAATTTCCGGAGTTCATTTTGGTTCCTTTTTAGTGTGGCCATGTCTTCTGAATTCTATATCTGCCATTTTGGATACTTCATTCTGTTTAGAGCTGGTACAATCCTTTGGAGGTGATGAAACACTCTGGCTTTTTGTGCTGCTGCATTTCTTGTGCTGGTTCCTTCTCATCTGAGGGAGCTGATGCTTCTTTTTTTGAATTTGCTATCTTTTGAATGGGGTCTTTTGATTTTTTTCTTCTTCTTTCTTTAGTACGACTGCAGTCAATTGACTGCTTTTCTGAGTGCTTTCAAGGGGCCATAGCACTGTACAGGTTCCTTGGTTGCAGATGGTTTGACTTTTTCCGCAATGTTTGTTCTAGTGATTTTTGTTTGGTGTTGTAGTCAGGCTACAGTCCAGTAGATGGCGCTTAAGAGTAAGAGCTGGCAGGTAGGCTTCTTACTCTTTTGGGGGGCCCTCAGCAGGGGCAGAGAGCCAGAAAAAGCATGATAAGCAC